TGTCAATATTTAAGAGGTTAGAAAGAATTTTTGCTTCACACTTATATTAATGTTAGGTACGTTAACCAACGCTCCGATGGTTCTAATAGGCTCAATGGAGTACTTAGCAAATCACATCTACAAGGGTTATCCCACTTTGCCTTGCATTCTTGTTGGTTTCAAACCCATTAATTTTACACATCTCAATTAAGTCTGTTTCATCCAAGATGGCAGTGGAGTAGTAGCGCAATGTATAGGCTCCTTAGCCCAGGAGCCCAGAGCTCGTCTACTTTACGTTTTTTTCCTTTCTATGCTATTTTTTAATGTTTCCATTTATTATGATACCTTAACTTCTTTTAAAGAATTTGGCAGAAGGCATCTTCTCTTGGCCCTGGCCTAATGACGAAGTGGCTTCTAGTAGCCAGAAACTGTGGTATTGGTCTGGCACCTGGCAGAGTGGCCTCCTGGTGTGACAGGCTTATCAAGGAGTGGGGGGTCTTGTCCCTGTGTCGAGGTCTTCTTCGGCAGCTTCTGGGTACTTAACAGCCTGGTGTGAAGGTCTAGTCCAGCTGCGGAGTCTCATCTTGGTGTGGAGGTGTCATGCTGGCTTGGAGGTGGCTTCCGGGTCTTTCATCGGCCTAGCGTCAAGGTCTTGTTCCGGCATGGCAAGGTGGTCTCGGTCCAGTTTTCCAGCATATCCCAAACCCAAAAGCTGTTATTTGAACTGTGATGAATTTTTACTTCTTTTTTCTCATTATGTGTGACTTCTGTCATTAATTTAGACGCCGTGGCATGGGGACTTATAAAGCTTTTCACTACTGTTTTTTTTAAAAATACACATGAGAATAAATTGCTCTTCTATTCTCAGTCATCCCTCAATCTCCTCTGTTCCAAGGAAGCAGCTCCAACTTATTCAATTTTTCCTCATAGCTGACAGGGGTAAATGTCGCCAGCAACAAGGAGGTCAAAAAAAACCCAAAAAACAAGAACTAGAAACTACTGATCAAAAGTAAAAATGTCTGAATTTTGTGTGGTGAGAAATCGTCTAATGCTTCTTTTGACTTGTAGTCAAATGCAAACACTTCAAAGCCACTTCAAATGGTAGAATACTGGACTTGAAGTGAGTAGAAACATTATTTTTACCTTTTTTTTAAATCTTCTATTACTGTCAAAACTGTGTATCATTGCATTTGTATAAAATCACCTACGTGACCTCAACATTTCAGCATTCAATGTAGTGGCCATGTGTAATAGAGCAAGAAGCAACAAGAACATGACCTTGTTAGATAATGCAAATGCACAGCAAAACAAAGGACTACAGCGATGCTTCGCAAACCATTTTCTGACAACCTTATTTTAACTCATACCACCTTCTGAAGGGCAGTCAGGGATGAACAACAGAGATTCGCATAGTCAGCAATGCCCACTTTTCACAAACATTAGGAAAGTATTGTACTTCAAATCTCGGGTGACCTCAGGCTACAGCAAAAACAAAACAGTAATATAGCACCACAGCAGCTCAATATAATTAAAGTCTGCATATTTCTCCACCTAGACCTCTAACTCAGCTTCCTCTCCATCATCTCGGTTCCAAGTTACTGCTGGTGTCCCAATCAGTGAGCTGCCTTGGTCTCGACCACTTGGACCCGAAATGCTGGGCAAGAGCAAAGCTCGGATTCCATTGGGCTTGGAAGTTTCACCTCTTCCTTCACTGGGTACCTCAGTAGCACTCAGGACACAAGTAGTTTTAACCAGAGACAAGGCAGAGCAGTGATCGCTGCTGACATCACGATGTGACTGAAACCATGACCTGCTGGAAATGCCGTTCTTGCCAGGTTCAGGGCTGGAACTTGAAGTCGAGTGGTGGGCCTATGGTTGGTTCAGAGCAAAGTCAGTCCATTGGTAATGGGACCTCAAATTGATTGGGAAGAACCAGTTGTCCTCTGCTTGTGGCAGACAATCCCACAGCAGTAGTTGCATAAGGAAGATAGCACAATACAGGAGGCACTCTGCAGGTTTGCAGAGGATCTAAAACAGTCCCAATTTCTGTTTCCTGTTATTTGAGGAAAAACTGGCTCAAGACTAATTTAAGTGGACTAGAAGCAATGTGGCTGCAAGCAATTAACTTTGAAGAACTCATTGCTTTCTTTCTCTTTCACTTGGTGTCTCACTTCTCAGGCGTTGCTCTTAGATTTTCTTTTTCCAATCTGTTGATTCTTCAGACCATTTTCTTCACTAACTTCTGGTAACCATGTAACTTTAAGTGGAACCTTTCACACTTGCACTTGCAAAATACCATTTGAACATATGGTGATTTACTATTTGCAATACCCAAAAATAAGCTGAAATAATTTGTCAAGCAGAAACCTCTAATAAACCCTGTTGTTGGCAGTTTCATGGCTTTATTAGCTCAGGCAAGACTATTCCAGTTTATTAAATGGAAGAGACACATCAAACAGGAAATAAAAGTCAAAATGTGATGGCAGTGTAAGGTGAATTACACAGGATGAAGTGAATTAAACAGGATGAGTACCATTCCTCAACTGTCCTCCAAATTTTTACCCTTCCTTCTCTCAATGGAAGTTTCTTTTTATTTTACAACCAAGGTATCTTCCGCCAAGACTAAGTAATTCACATTGTGGGGAATGTGAAGAGCATGCCACCACAAAGATTTGCAATAGAGTGACAATTTCAGGCAGCATGCATTCACAAACCAGTTCTATACTGAATAGAACCTTGAGTCCTTTTACTTGTTGACTGTGCAAATTTTCATGGACATCTTTTCACATTCAATTCAAGACAGTGGCGGAGTAAGATGCTTCAGACAGGGCGTGTCTGCCTGGCCCGTTTCCTTTTCTTTTCTCTTCTCTTTTGTGTTTTTTTTCCCTTCTTCTCCCAGCAATGGACTCCCAGCCTTGGACTCAGTGCACACCCGGTGGGGCAACCTCTCGATTCAGCATGTCCAACTCCCGACCCGGCTGTCTCTCAGTGGCCTGGTGTGGCCTCAGCGTGGACTTCTGGTCTCGAGGTGAGTGCTCGAAGTGCAGTCCCACCGTGGCTAAGCACTTAAGAAAGACTGTGTTTGAACTTTCAGCTTTATTTATTTTCTACTTAAAACTTAGAAGGTCTGCGATGTGTGACTTTTAACCTTATTTCATACGCTTTATGCTATACTGTAATTACTGCAACATTTAACTTTTAACATTCTTCTTTCTTTCAACTGTGTTCTTATGATTCTGCACCTAGGTACAGACAATAAAAATCAAAAATAAAAAAAAAAACGTACATTTAGTACATCAATAATTATTTATAGTATTTCTAATTTTTTTGATGAGAAACATGGTTTAATTAATTCATATTTTGTAATCACTAGGTAAGTAATAGGTTTACTCAGTTTGCCAAAATTTTGTGCAACTGTGCAAAATAAAGCATGTATTGAAGAAATGAAGACATGCATCATTACCAGGTTATTTATTCAGGGAAAATAAAATCTAAAAGCACATGCTCAATCTAAAAATTCCATTGCAAGTGCAGAATATGGAAAAGTCAGAAGTTCTGGATATTCTGCAGATTATAAAATCCAGGAAAGGGGTGACATTTTTGACAATAAATTAATCTAGAATGACCATCTGAAAAGACAGACAGGCTCTTATTTTAAACTACAATAGCAGGTCCACAGCCAAGAAAATTCTTAAAAGTCTAAAATTCCCAATTGGTACTGAACTAAGCATCAGACATCCTTTAATTCACACGCATAATGCATAATTTATAATTAGCTATTAATGTGCAACTTTTCCACATAAAATTTAATTAAATTTAAAGATACAACCAAAGTATTAGTATTGAAGAGATGAGCACAAACTCACTTTGACTGAATTGTTATATGGTAAAACAAGCTAAGGAAACTGAATAAGAATCAGATTGAAAATTTCCAAGAATAGATGTCTCAGCTTCTGCAGATTATTTAACTAGAAAGTAGAGAGACCAGCAGCTTTTCAAATCGAGTCAGAAAGAATACCAACTTCAAAATCCTAATGTTCACTTATAATATGAATTACATGTGCATTGTAATGGGAAGTATTGTAGTTGTTTCCGAGGAATTGGTTTGCGTTTATGGAGGCCAGAAGCAGGAAGACAGAATAATTGAAGCCAGTGGCCTGAAATACAGACATACAGTCAATTCAAAGAAAACTACTTAAAAATCTTATTTTTCAACTACGTATCCTAATTCAATTCCTTCAATTCCAAGCTCAGTAATTTCCCCTTGGCACTTTCACAACGAAGTAATCAGCACTCAGTGATTGAAGCAAAAGAGAAGAAACAAAGCCACTATCAACGTTAATCATAATTCTTTGCAAGATTTAGGTTTTAAAAGGGCTACGGAAGCCAAGCTCCCTCATTCAAGATTTGTCTCTACTTAAAATGTGAAGAATACCTATGGTATCTGTCATGTGTCCTAAAATCAATAACATGTTCTTGCACCATCACTGCTTTTGAGCTAAATGTAGATTGTTAACTTTTTAAAAATCAAATTATTCACATTACAAATTATAAATGCAACAACGCTCTGTCCATGGTTAGTGTAGGAATTTAGTACAGAATTTTAGGAAATAACTGAGTGGAAGCTGCTTATTGCAAAACTTAAGTTGCTGAGACTAGATTTTTCCTGACATGTTGAAACAGAAGAGATAAGGAGTGCAGTTAGGTCCTGCCAACATTTTCTTCAGATTTTCCATTTTTGTAAAAGCCTGTCAAGGAATGCACTCCTTTAGCAATTTTATCAGTTGCCAAGGGATATTTAATATTTTATATAAATGTTAGTTATCAAGAGCTGACATCTGGATATTGTTTGTTATATTAGCAGATATTTTAAAAAGTACACGATGTACATATCCCAAATCTTCAGTATTTTTACAAAGCAACAGACAAGCATTTCAAACATACATATTTATAATCAGTATTTTGCTGGCATGTGTATTTTGAAAATTAAGTTTGTTCAAAAGTTAAAAGTTCAAACTTACTGTACTCTCTGACCAGACAGAATTCCAAAGTGCTCTGACTCTCTAAGGTACGATCTAAATCTACAGCTACGTTAGGTTCACTTTGCTTCTCAAGCCGATACTGATGCCCTGGAACAAAAAAAAGGTCAGCAAACAATGTGAATGAGAAACTTCATGCTAATGGTGCAGAAACTGTAGATACAACACTTGAAAAGTAAGGGTTTATATTTTCCACCTCAACCCAATGCAAACAAATACCTAAAAATACTACATTTCACCGTGTATCAAGTTTAAATCAACAGGGACATTCAGCCTTAAGTGGCATTTCTGTTGTGCGGTTCATCAATTTACAGTAGTTTGCAGGTATCTAATTAATTTATTTGGAACTTATCTCCCCTGGTTCCTGCTTCAACATAAAAAAACAGGTTATTGGTCTACAGGAAATTAAGGTCTTGGACGTTTCAAATGAATCAACATTCTTGTTCCGTTCTTGCTCAACTTATCTACTCAAGCCATTTTTGTGCAGAATTTAACAGTTGGTCACTTAGTTAGATATTTGTAAAGATCATGTCTTTTTAATTTTGTGCTTCTTAAAACTGTGGACTGCAATTAAGAAACTATTTAAAGCAAGGAATTTACGAGAGTGACTGCACGTTTTGAAAGCAAGGAATTCAATACGTATTGTGAACTGCGTTTGTATAGCTGTGGATTCCAGCAATGTGTAGATGACTTGGAGCGGAGAGTTCTTTCATAAGAACACAAGAACTAGGCTGTCTGGCCCTTCGAGCCTGCTCCGCCATTCAATAAGATCATGGCTGATCCTTTTGTGGACTCAGATCCACTTACCCGCGTTCTCACCGTATCCCTTAATTCCTTTATTGTTCAAAAAAAAAATCTACCATTTTTTAAAAACATTTACTGAAGTAGCGTCAACTACTTCACTGGGCAAGGAATTCCATAGATTAACAACCCTCTGGGTGAAGAAATTCCTTCTCAGTTCAGTCCTAAATCTGCTCCCTCTAATCTTGAGGCTATGCCCTCTTGTCCTAGCTTCACCTGCCAGTGGAAACATCCTCTCTACTTCTA